TTCCAGAGCTGGACTGGAAGCATGGGATTAACTTAGATTCAAGCACAAATTCAGTATTTTCAGGGCTGCAACTCTTTACTTTTCTAAATTCAATTCATTTCTGTTAATTGTGTCTAATGGTATTGTCACACCAATGACAGAAATACACTGAGGAAGCCACACATGTTCGCTCAGTGTTGGTCTGTAATCTAGCCTTCACCTTCACCAGGTGCAGCTGCTTTTCACTGATACGTCTGTGATTCTTGAAGGCAGTAACACAGGCTGTGGGCTCTAATGTTTGGTGTTACTGTGGGGAACCGGGTGTCTGAGCATTGGTCAAGATGCAAGAGAGCCAGGCGCAGCCCAGCTGGTCAGTGAGACACACCTGCAGCTAATTAACCTCTTGCCTATATGTGTGTATTTCAATAGAAAGTGACAAGAGAAGGGTAGTAGAATCCAACTGGCAACACCCTGATGTGCACCTGGAACCTGGAAAGGCCTGGTGTAAATGACACTGACACTGTCAACCCCTAAAAGGGAGCCATTATTAGCATGTGGACAGATGAACTGTTGCAAAAAAAAAAGGGCCAACACTGATTCTAGCAGACTTCCAGCAGTAATTTGCAGCTCAGTAAATGTATGCACAATGACAACACACTGCGCTTCCTGTGTGGAAGTCTGAACGTTTTTGACACACAATTTTTTCCGCCTGCATTCATGGCAAGTTGTCATAATTATTTTACTCATAGACAAACATGCTGGGAATATAAAATATCTCCTGGCAAGGGTCCTGCATCACCTGATCTACTGGGAAGTCAGTTTGTCATGCAGCTGACAATACACTATGTGTAACTGGCAAACACAGCGTAGGTGCAAATGTATTCAAATCAGTCTGATAAATTATTAACCCCAGATTTTGGAATTTTAATTAATAATTAAAATGTATAAAAAAATTCATTCAGTCATTAGAGTTTAAATGTCTTTGTCCTTTGTTCTGCAGCAAAAGGTGCATCTCTTTTACTGCCAGTGCAGAAACAGAGCCAAAAGATTTTGGGTGACCACCAGTTTCATCAGTGAGATTACATCACGGGTCTCCAGCTACACTAACCTATGATATACTGTAAGTGCTGAGCCTGTGGATGGAGTTCAGGAAGGAAATTGATAAGCAGAGGATTGTGGGAACTGAGCCCACGTGGAGGAATGTGAAAGCCATCCATCAGGCTGAGGACAGAACTTTCCCGATAAGCTACTGCCACCACCAAGCAACCTGCTCTCACCTCTGAGGAAGTGCCACTGTGGAAGTGTAACAAAACTCAGAGAATGTGATTCTGTACATGTTAGATCGCCACAAGAGTGGACATCTGTGACACCTGAAGGGTGAAAACAGCCTGGGAAAAAAAACTGAAATTCTGTAAGGCAACCCATGCCTCAGGATGGTTGGCTTCTCTCTGTGATTTAGACACATTTACACATAGACACACAGAGTTAGACTCAAGATTTGGCCTGTGATCAAACCTTTGTCACTAGACATGACAATCTACCCGAGCAGTCAAAGACAATGCTTAGAACCACACTCCAATAAGACATTTCTCAGAGGCAGCTTGTCTTGTGTCCCTTGCTCCAGATTCTTCCAGCTTTAATGCTGTATGCATCATATTGCCTTTCATTCTATTGTCTCATGAGCTTCCACACATTCTCAGTGATATATGCATGTGTCTGCTGTGTTTCTCTCAGTCTGAGGTGGTACAGCCTGGCCGTGTAGAGAGCTGCATCCTTCCTGTAGTACTATTATGTTTGGATGCTTGACATATTGTAAACCACATGTACAGTCCTTTTTTACATTTGTACTTATTTAAGCAAGAAAAGCAGAACTGAGCACATGGGTGGCAACCTGTACATGTCCCAGTTAGCACAGTGTCTGGAACTGACAAAACTTAATACAATGCAGCAACCACTGATGCTATTAGTTACAGCATTTGACTGCTGCCTGTGAGTTCTGTGAACTTTCAGTTGTTGCCTTAAGTAAGTGATTGCAAGGTTCAGCTGATTAGATGCAACTCCTCTGGCAATAAAGGAGCCATAAAAAAACCAAATCATTTTTGATGTCATGCTAATATAAAGTTAAGTAGATTTTGTACACATCAGGTTTCATTCTTAAAATAAAATTCCTCAACTGCAACTAATTGTGTGATAACATAAAAAAAAGAAACCAAAAAACTTGGTAGCTCCTACATTCGCTCTGGCTCAGAGTGGCTGGTTTTTCAACATGGAAGTGCACGGCATTTCCATTTGCAATCTGTATGTCATTACTGCCTGATTTACTACAGTATAACAACAGCTCACAGATTATAGTACCAATTGCAATTCTGCACAGTCTTGCAAGCCAGCACAAACAAATACACAGCGTCTGGTGAGGGAAGATGTTCAGTGTTATTTATGTGAAAGGTGGATTCTTTTCATTTAGTCTCAAAGAATCTTTCTGTCAAAGAGAAACTTTTAGCTTTGGTTGCTTTAATGGGCAGGCTAATGTCGCCGTTTTCTACACTCCAGACACGTGCCAGTTAAACTAATAGTGTGTGTGCCTCAGCAGCTAGAACTTCACACAAAGCAAGCGTTATTATTTCTGTTATTACAAAATCTTGATCAAGGGGTCTCAATCTACTCCTAGTGATTGTTAGGCATTAAAGAGACACATCTTTCCATCCTAGCTCAGACCCCCACCGCCTTAAGTATCTTAAGGCTGTCAAGCATGCACACTGGACAGTTCTTTATCCATGTCCTGGTAGGCTGGATTTACTTTGCCACAACGAGTCGGTGTAAGAAGAAGAACCAGTACAGAGTTGACACCAGAGTTGTCAAGTGTTTCTGAATGTTTAGCCATCTCCTTTTGTCCTCAACTTTCAGATGATGTGAATTTAACAAGATGTCTCCTGAGACTCTGCTCTTCACTTCCCATTGTCAGAATGGAAACGCAGCCATGCAGAAGCAAAAATGCAAACATGTAGAACAGAGGAAAACCATGCATCCCTGCATGCACACATGCAAACTAACACAAGCTGGAGAACCATGCCAACATTACTTAAGACCATTCTGACATGTCTTTATATTAGGTTCTGAGTCTGTTGGGACAAATCTAAATGAAATTCAGAGTCATTTGTGACAAATCCAAATCATGCCATCACATTCAGATTGTTACCCATGTAATGTAGTTGGGCCTGCATTCTGACAACTTCGCCAATGATAGATATAACTACAGTATAACAGATCTGTGTGTGATATTTTATCAATTGTGAAATTGTCTAAAAGTTGGGGTCAGTTAAAAAGCTTGTCTGTGTTTTGTGCAAGAACACTTAATTCATACTGTTTTCTGTCTGTGCAATCATCTGAAAAATATTCTACTGTGAGCGTCACTGCAAGGCTCCAGCAGAAATGTGCACGCATCTCCACAGCTGTGAATAAACATCATATGCTCAGTAGAGCATTACTGTAACCATCCAAGGTGACTTGCATTGCCCTTGTCTTAACAGTTGGCACATGACAAAGCCTGAAACCTAAAGCAATCACACATTTTATTTTTCCTTTGTGGATTGAAACACAATATAATGTAAAATACAGGGTTGTATTCTCAGGGAACATGGACTTGCATGATTATTGGAATGTTTTTATCATCTGTGGTGCACACAAACCTGCCAAGCATGAAATCAGATCTCATACAGTAAAGATAGTGTGAATTCAGTTTGTCTTCAGATTCAGATCCCTACATCTCTCCCTGTATATGCACATGTCCCATCAAGCCTTGTCAGCATTTTGAGAACATCTTGCTATTTATGTTGATGCATCCTGATTTGTTGTGCACCATTTTGTCCATATTTCCCTGAGTGAATTTGTCAAGTATTTCAATATATTTCCCTGAGTGAATTTGTCAAGTATGGACAATTATGGACCATTGCTTTTCAAAGTACACATTTTTACTCCTCAAACAAATATGACTCGCTCTGTTTCATAGACATCTTTGTGTTTTGGGCTGTTAGTCTGTCATAACAAAAGAGTGAAAGCTTTTGCTGTCAGAAAGCGTGATGAATATTTTTCACTATCTTTAAATATTCTGGAGCCTTAATGATTAACTGATAAAAATCCATAGAATCTGTAATAAAGATAATCATTAGCTGCTGCCCATGCTTTTTCCTGCCCTCCTCCTGAAAGCATCTGTTAAATGCTTTTTAAAGCCTTTCATTACCTTGTACTTTCTGTTCATGTCTTGCATTTGCTAGTCATCTGGGATTATTCAGTAATGTCTTGCAGTTTTTAAAGCCAGTTTATAAACAGTTTTCTGAAATGTTTAAATTATAGGGTGTAGTTCTTCTTGTTTTGATCAGAGGACAAACATTTCACTCTCTCTTGCTCTGCCTTGCCTTGTATTACATGTCATTCTGTTTGTATAGACATTGGAGTCATGGCATGGCATTCATCCTCTGAGACCCAGAGACAATGTGATAGCCCAGCTCAGAGATGTGTCCACTTTCTCCCATCATCACTCCTCTTCACTCATGTCCTTCCTTCCCTTCTGCTGAGACCGCAGAGTGCCAGAGGTCCTTGGCAGCATTTGTCTGCCCTGCTTGTGAACCTTTTTAGCTGGCACAATTCGAGCCTCGGTCCATCTGAGGCCCGTGCCACTTAGTGTTAGGAGATGAGTTGGACAGAGAACTGTTGGCTAGGGAGAAGGGATGAGGTCTGACACTTGGACAAGATGCGTGTTAGGGAAAGGATGACATGGAGGAGGTTAGCAAGAGACAGATGGGGGCAAAGAGGGGCTGTCTCCAGGGAAATTTGGAAGAGGGAACAGGGGTATCAACACTGAGGTAAGCTCGAGCACGAGACACAAAGGTAATCCAAGAAATTAGGATTTGATGAGCTGCGAGCAAAGGAGTCAAGGAGTGTGATGCTGTGACAAGATTATCTGAGGGGTGATAAAAGAAGAGGGAGGCCACAGTCTGCCTCTTCTTTTCAAACTTTGCACTTACCAACTTTTTGAAGCAGGAAATAGTTGAATAAAATGGGAAAAGAAAGAAATGAAAAGGTGGTGTTACTGAAAATACTGTAGAAATCCACAGGCTGTGTGACAATGTGTTTTGTAGTAGAGAACAGGGATTTGTCAGAAATAAAGAGGCTGCTGAGAGAACGATTGAAGGCCGTGAGGAAAGTGACTGATCAATTCTTACTATTACAAAATGATTTGAGGATAGAGGTTTGGTAGAGAGTTAGAGAAAGAATAGACAGATCAAAAATGGTGCGAGCTAAAGCTGATACAAACAGAAAGGTGTTGGGGTTTCACAGCAGGAGTTCAGCCCAAGACTTTACTTTCTCTTTCTCCTAGTCTACCGTTCCTCAGTAATGACTTAGTAGCTCCCAGACAATTTATATGGAAATTCACCTGAAAGAGTTTGTCGATTAACAGAGAACTCGATACAAATATTAGAATTAGTTTTAATGCATGAACTGTGTTGATAAAAAAATAATATAACCAGATTTGTATTGTATAGAATGACAAACATTAGAGAACTTCAACTAAAATCTGAACATAAACTTGATCTAAACATACTTTAGACAATGTTTTGTGATTTTTACAAAACAGAAATACTATTAAACATAAGGTGGGGCTTAGGGCCTGCCTGACACTTTGGCCCCTGGACCTGTGTCCACAGATACTTCCAGTGCACTGAGAACATTCTGTCTGATGCGTCTTCACTATGATCAGCAGATACAACTGTTTCTGTCTGACGTTTGACAGATTCGTCAAGTGATGAAGACGGTAACGGTTCTTTGCTACTAGTGCGTTCAGGTCAGGAGGTGCGCTGTGCAAACAAAGCGCTGGGTGTCACATGAGTGAACACTAATGTTGTTCTAACAAGGACAATTACTCCAACATTTGCTTGGAATTAAAAACCTCATTATGGCGACTTAATTAATGATCTGTAGAGTAAAGGATATTAAGAAAGAGCAAGTGATAACAGTGCTGCTGCATCTGACACATATGAACTACACGTCTCATTTATGACAAATTCTCCCTTGCAGTCAAGTAGAAAATATCAAATTTATAATGAGAAATTTTAATTTCATAATATTACCAGAGAGAGGAGCTTTTGACATTGGACAACCGCAGAGTAAAAAACCCCAAAGGCAGAGCAGTGTCCTTTGATGGGAAATGGTGTTATTACAGCATTCGTCTTGTTAGTAGAAAAGTCACAGATAAGCAATTGTACTTCCACAGTATAAGTGTCCCAGTGACAAGATGGCATATTTTTTTTTTTTTTGCAATGAGCTGAGAGGAATGGAGAAATTAATATGGCAGAGATAGCGAGCGGTCAGGACGGAAGTTAGGGCAATTTGTGTTCTTCTCTCAGCTTTACGACATTGAGAGGACCATGTCTTTGGGAGATAAAGAAATGGGAAAAGTGACATTAGTCTGAGTAGGAGAAGATATAGGAGGAAACTGAATAGAAAATAAGGTAATATGAGAACAGAGCAGAGTAAAAACACAGAAAAGAACATTTAAGGTTCAAATGAAATATTAACTTGACTGTGTGGAATTGTCAGAAATGTAAATTAAAGAACTGGGTAATAGCAGTTCCTTCTCTGTAAGGGTCAAGGATTCTGTAGTATTTAGCAGCATATTTCACTGCTGTGCATTCAATTTTATGTTTTCATATATATAAAATAAAGACATTTGTCAAGCAATATTTAGTTTTCTGCTTTAACAGCTTTGGTTTCCAGTTTCAGACTCGCTGCCCTGCTGGTTGTCTGATTAGGGACTGATGTCAGGTTGAAGCAATTACAGCAGTGTAACTACAATTATCTAGCCAGTCACACTAACATCCAGCAGTGCTCCGTCTTCTGAGGACCTGCATTAATCTGGCTGATAGATCTGCTATCCACTGTGCACTTAATTGCATATAGTAAGTTTAGTTTTGGAGCACCAATAGACTTTAATGCCCACCATGACTGGCAGTGAGGAGAGAAACCAAGCCAGTGCAGTGACTAACAGCATTTCTAAAGAAATACCATACTGTTTGTGTATTTATCAAGACAAGTCTCTGGCTGTATATTTTATACAAATAGAAGATTAGTATTTCTGGTTGAGTGCTCCTGTAATAGTTCCTAAGCTATTATTATTATATATTAGTCTGTCTTGTGGGATGTTTACATGGCAGAGCTGAGGAATTGGTAGTGAGAACATGCTCAGTAAATGTCGGTGTATGTTTGTGAACATCTGGCACTCCCTAGTGCTTTATTAATGCAAACCGGTAGGCTGAAGAGAAAATGCTCCTCCAGTTGAACATCAGCAGGATGATCTAAGAAATATGAGCCCGTTTGTTTCCCCCATGTTTACTTTTCTATTGTCTAATGGTTAAAAAAAAAAAAAAAAGTGGAAACTTACTTGGGTCAGACAGGATGGAGTCTGTCTTGGGCAGAAACTGGTCACAGCGGATTCCCTGGTAGCCTTCTCGACACCTGGTGGTGAAAATAGGGAAATTAATCATCAGTCAGTGAGTCAGGTAGATGTACCGGGGAACAAATGCCACTGCAGCTGATGTAAATGCAAGAGCAGCACATAAACTGCCTCCTCGTGTTTTGAGACAAATGTAGATCGGGCTCCGTCCTCATGGGCACAAACTGAATTGCTGAAAAATGCAAAGTAAGGCGAGCTGACAGGAAGAAATTAATAGCGAGGAGATCCATGGGGCCTGAAACCTGTATTTTTCTTGAATAAGACATCTGCCAAAAACACAAATTGGGGCTGCAGAAGAAAAGGAACATCCATTACCCATTAACTGAGGCCCTGTAACCTTTCTCTGCTATGTGACTAAATGAGTTTCAGGCTCCTTTGTTGGACACAGAAAATCTACGCACCGCATGACTCACCAAAATGTAAAACCTTTTCTTAAAAAGAAATAAATAAACTGTGTTCAAGCTGAACTTGCAAATGAGGATGAACCTGTCGTGAGAACAGTGTCTCCCTTCGTGCCCTTCGCCTCTTCCATGGTGTCTGAAAAGCTCTCAAACTTTTCAGACATTTTAACAGTGGGATGTGATTGGCACAGCTGCAAGAGTCAGGCAAAGATCATTAATGGCCTGCTCTTCATAAGATGTCCTAGACTAGGACACTGTGAATATGTGTTTTTAATTCATTTCAGCTTAATAAATGTATCTTTACCAGCATATATAAGAGTGACTTACAGTGCGTAAGTAAGTTAAATGTCAGTATGCAGTGTAAAGTCTAATTGGATGCCTCAGTTGGTTTGGATATCAGTCTTTGCCTCTGGCCATTGGTACATTGCTTGCTGTTCTGTTTTTTCTATTACTCTTGAGGAAAATGCTAAGCTAATACATTCAAATAAAATGGAAACTTTAGGAATAGAAGTAGTTTGCATTACCTCTCTAAATTTGAGCCAGCTATATCTACTCAATCTATCATTCAGTCACTAAATCTCAGTGTTCTCTTCCACTCAACCTGCATCCTAACTCCTCCCGTTTACCCCTGTGGCTTTGTTGCATTGACACTCCTGGAATTAACTTCCATCTGCTCTGACAAGCTGACAGCAGTGCACGTATACATATCCCAGCAGACCCAGCTTTTGGAAACCACCAACTGGGAAAACATCTACGTCCACCCAGACAAAACACCATAGCTATTCATAGAAATCAGGCTGACATCAGAATGCAGTGTGACTGAGTGCAGATTGATAATGACTCCCCTCTGTTTGTCTTTCATCTACGGTGAATGATTTTAATTATGAAATGAGCTGCAGTAGGCTGGGAAAGATCCACCCGACCGTGCATGCCAGTAACATGCTTAAAGACTATCTTCACTGCTGGAAGGGAAAGGGGGCAAATATTGCCAGGCATATGGTGACGGTGCTGCGCTGTTCCTGCTATAACAAGTGGCAAACTGACATTGGTTCATCACTGTAGTCTTACTGCAGTCTGAATGCAGATCCTAAAGCCAACTGTCAACATTGTACTGTACTCACTAAAAATAAAGCCCCATTTCCATTATAAACGGTAAACAGTGGTTGTCATAGTAACCCAACTGCAGGTGATGTATGTGCTTTAGCGAACAACTGCATCCCTCCCCTGGTAAATGTAGGATGGCTTCTCCTAGTCCCATTCATCACGCCACATGGCCACCATGACAGACGGCAGCCTATCAACTGTCTGATCATTGTGAAAGTGTCCTCATCTAAAAAAGACCATAGAGGTCGTCAGTACAAGCTGCTTATTACAATGCATAGATACAGCTATGGTTATTGTGGTGATCTGTAATAATGATTTGTGTTAGTGAATTCTGCAAGATGCTATTTATTGTAATTGTCCTTTTGAGAGAGGCCCTGTGCACTGTACCTCCAGGTTCCCTGGAAGCTTTATATTAAGCTGTGACTTCTTTTGTGGTGACTTGAAGTGTTGGGTTTTTGCGTCTTCGCTCCTTGTGTTGCTGTGTGCATCTCCTTGCAGTTCTGAGTGTGTTAAAACCTGTTTGTCACTTAGGTTGAAAGACTTGTTGATCACTTGTCAAGGCACCAGCATTGCTCTCTCTCTTCTAATTTTGTTCTCAGTTTGTTGTCAGATAGTGTGTGTGTGTTGTGTGGGAGCAGGAAAACAAAACAAACTCAATCATCGTGTTTGGTGCCTTGTTTTAAAGACACATTTTAAATAGGATTTTGAAACTCCCATGAAACGTACCTAAATGTTTGACTTTGGCTTCCTGATCACATGCTACTATTCAGGGTCAAAGTCTAACATGTCGACACTTAAAACACAGACAGACTTTTCTCTGTGTGGTGTATGTGGTCATTAACATCTCTCCATGCCACTGTGACCTAAACTTTGACAGGAGGCAACCTTTGTCACACCAAGTGGAGAGGAGGAAGATAATTAACAGAATAGAAGCTTAACATGGTGACAGTGTCTGTGTGACATACTCATTAGGGGGGACTGTGAGCAGGACTGCACAACAGAGGTTAAACTAAACAGAGTGTAACTAAAAAATATGTTTAGATGCCAGAGAATGCAACAGTTGTCTGAACATGGCCTCGCTGTGTGGCCAGGAGCGCCACACAGACTGCTGCAGACTCCTGTCTAGCACTGGGCAGTGCATGAAGTCATTGTATCGCTCACAAATGTAACTTTTTTTTGCTCTAAGCTGTTCCTGTTCCAAGCAGATTTTAAAACACATCAGAGTCTCATTTCATAAAGCTCAGTGGAGTGAATCTAACACTGGATGAGAGATAGTCAGAGGGTAATGAAGAGTTACATGCCTTCTAATTAGCACCACAGTCATTAATTAAAAGAAAACAGGAGGAGATTGCATGTGCACGTAGGTGACTTTGTACATGTGTGAATCTCACAAACATTCAGAGCAGCACAGATCAGAATATGAACATGTCGCCTGGAGGATGATGAATTTCTCCAACAGGCAATGTGATAAGACACGTGCTTCCCAACACCCAGAACAAATCGTGGAGGAAAGAGCTCATTTAGGCAGCTCAAAGCTTTTCCGTGCAAGTGGGAGAACGTGCTATTTTCCCCAATGTTGTAACCGTAATAATACATCTGAAGTCTTTTTCAGGAACAATCCCATCTAAGAATCTTGGATCTAAGAACAAATTGTACTGAAACTGAAGCAACATCTTCTAAATGACAAATGACTTGCTGATGTTTGTTTGATTCAGCTTTACATGATTCAGTTCATGTCCATCTTATCATCGACACAAATGTGCTAACATACGCAGACTGGTTACTAATCTTAGCCCTAGTTTGGATCATAATCAGTACATCAGATTTGCATAAGGCAGAAAATAAGCACCTCATTCAGTTTTCAGTGCTCTTAACCTAATATTCTAGATAAATCTGGATTCATACCTAATACACCACGTCCAAACTGTGTGTCTTTGAGAAGATCTTGTCAAAACTGAAACTAATATACCTCTGTGTTTTAGAAACACAGGCAACACAGAGGCCATATTTGTAGGAAACATTTTTGGCTTTATTTAACCTCTGTCTCTTTTCAGGACACTCACACATTATCACTCACACTTTAAAGCTGCTCTGTGCCACTACAGCAGCTCCACTTGCTGTTGAAAGTGTCTTGCTCAGGGGCGCCTTTGGGATTTATCCTGTGAGTTTCAGATTAGGTAGCAAATTATAGCCTACATGCTGCAATTGCTAACCCTAAAAACGCAGTTCTCAAAATCTGGTCAGCTGTCTGGTTACTCATGTTTACTGCGAGGACAGGCCATCGGCATGCTCTGCAGCATTGTATAGTCCTGTTATGTTCAAAGTTGATCCAGTCCAGAGAGACCGCACACTGGCAAATGAAGACAGATTTCTGAAACGTTCTTTTCTGTAACCCAATAGCTCCACTGCTCTTTCTAGGCTGAGATGAGACAGAAAACATCGATCATGTCCACAGATCCCCCCCTCCCCTCCCAGATCCTAAGAATGTGATACAAATAAAATAATGAAGCAAGCTGCAGTGTCAAACATGAAATGAAACATTAGAAATCCAAACAACTACTCTCTCCTTGGCAGGGTAGCCATTAAGCCAACTTAATACAGTGCAGCCACTGAGCAGCATGAGGCTCAAAGGTCTATTAAAAGAAAATATGCCACAGTGCACTGGTCAGAGCGTGACAGGTTGATTCAATGATCCTCACATTTTGGGCCATTTTCTTGGCATGAAATTCATTTTTGAGCAAAATGGCTGATACACTTTCCAACAAATAACAGGAAATAGTGGAATAAATAGTCTGTCATGACTGGAGCCTGACCTAACATCTACTCAGTAAGGATTTCAGAAGGTACAGATCAACAAGACAGCCACATAACTTTAAATTATAACAGTTCAGGTACCCCAATCTTAACTTGAAATATACTAACAGCTTCAACATTTTTGCATTTTTGTAAAGATGCTATGTGAGGAATAAGATGAGATGTCCTACACTGACACAAACGTTCACTGGAGCTGTATACAGCAGTGGAGGTAAACATTCACAGCAACACCGAGCGAGTCAGATAACCTATCAGGGAAAGGTTGTAGTACAAACTGATGGTTGATGATGCCGCATGTCAGTAAGGCACTATCCTTGATTTCTTCACATAATTGCTGAGAAATTTCTTCACCGAGTTCAGGATGTAATAGTGAGGAAAAACATGGCGCCGCTTGTGTGATGGACAGAAACAGGTGCAACAGATATTCTTTCACTGTGCGATTTGCAATTAAGTTTTAAGCCAAGAAGTTTTAAGAATTGATTGTTACTGTGCCTACTCAATAAAGCCCTATCGTTTGATGTATCAGATCCTAATGTAATGCAATAAGTCTGCTCAGCTGTTTAATCAGACCTGCAGACAACCAAATACAATTGACAGCCCAGACTTCAAAGCAGACCTGAGATGATTGCTTTTCTACTTTAATGGCATTACACATCGCTCATCCATTCTTTCCTCCCTTCCTT